CCGCTGAGTGGGTGTCTCCCTCCGGTGTAGTCTTTCCCCCAATCTTTCCTGCCACAACTTCAGTTCTTGTTCCAGTGGCAGGTGTCCAACTACCAGGGTCTCTCAGCTACAGGACGTCTGTCTGGTGATCTTCTGCGAGGCTCCACCTCCCCTCTACCTCACCCTTACACCCTGCCTTGACAGGTTCCAGATGTGCTTCGGCGAGTTCCCCGATAGTTGGGGCTCCACGTACGCTTGCAGAGATGGTCTTATCAGCCTGCCGGGCCTAATCCTAAATCTACCCACCATGCCTCACAGCTTCCTAGCCTCCCCTGAGGCTGTAAACTCCCTACAGGTTTAAACCACACTCCGGCTCCATATGCCTTGCACAGCAACCCCTCCAGAAGTAGGAAACATAAAATACAAACAATAAAGAAATACAAAGATACTAAGAGAGGCCCTCTGCCCCCCTTATAACCTGCTTCTTTGGCCTACCCACCACCACCAGGCCTCAGGTACCCGAGGTCCCTATTTGACCCTGAACTGGGTCCGAGCTAGACTGCCAGTTACTGCATCTTCCTCTTCACTCTTCTTCTGGCCTGTGGGTTCACTGGACCCACAGTGGCCCTTATCCATATGCTTCCCCCATGTCCCACGTCCCACGTCCCCTGTTGGGGTGGCTCTATGCCACTGGGGCCCATTTTCCACAGCCCCTCACACTGCCCTTTGTCCCCCACCTGGAGCACCTCCTCGAGCCCTCCAGGGGCCACAACGGTTCCACCTGGTCTGGCGTCCGGGTATCTGCTGGCCCCATCAGCGCCTCGGCGGTAACCCCTGGCCTCCAGCTCCTCCTGCTCTTCTTGGTCTTTTAATCCGGGTCCCCAGCCTGGATGAGGAGCCTCTGATCCCTCGCTCTCTGCGCTGCTGCTGGCAGCATCTTCCCCATGGTGGGCTTCGCTGCATCCTCCCATGCTGGGAGAGGCAGCTTCCTGCATCTTTTCCCCCCATAGGGGCTCCGGGAGAAGCTTCCCTGCTGGCGCTCCTGTGGGTCTCTCCCCCACTTCCTTGCCGGCAGCTCCTTTTATCCCTGCCAGCCGGCTCCTGCAGCTGGCTTTATCTGCCGGCCACAGCTGTATAAAGACATGGCTAACGAGCCACGTGGGTCCCGCCTCTATCTCCGGCTTTGCCGCAGATCCTGCTGCCGGTAAGAAGTTTTTATTTTATTTTATTTTGCTTTTGTTTATTTCTGAGAATTCCTGACCCCGGGGCTCCCCCTGGCTCTTTGGGGTCCTCCCCTCTGTTCCTGCCCATGACAGTTTCAAACCTCAAAACATTTTGAAACTTTCAAAATGTTTCAGCTGTCCTTGTTTCATTTCGAGGCTGTTTCGAAGCCCTTGGTTTTATTTTCATTTCACTGTTTCAAGCTCGAAATGAGTCAAAACAGCATCGAAACGAAACAACTGGAGAAATTTCGCACAGCCCTACTCAGCAGCATGGCTTCTGGAAAAAAAAACACCCTTCCTTAGCTGCCTAAAGTCTCCCAGTCCATTGCATGGGGAGCCTAGGCATGAAGCTCAGGGAGGAAACAAGACAACAGGCCTTGTAACACTGAGAGAAGCAGGTAAAGTATCTTTCAGGAGGTAGCCCAAAGTAATCTGCCCAAGGTGACACAGGAAGGCTGCGACAGAGCAGAGATTTAAACTTGGTCTCAAGTCCTGCAATAATGCCCTAACCACTGGACCATCCTTCCCAGAATAGCTTGACTCTGGGAAGGAGTGACATCTTCACATGGATGAGATGAAAAGAAGCACCACTTGCTAGACCACTTGTTAAACATTGGTAATCGGTACTGTCTTACTCCATCTCCAAAGAGCTGGAGGGCCAGCCTTGAATAATCGAGCACTGATTAACCAGGTCTGACTACAATTTATGTACCTGTGCAATCTGCCCTTTGTGAGCACAAGTAAATTAAATTGCTCATTGGACCTGGTAACAGATGGCTTATTCCATCTCCTTTGTTTGATCTGTGCATCCCAGGGAGCATAACTGAAGAGGGCATCTTTACATAGCCAGGAGCAGCAAGTGAGAGCTGGATAGCAAAAATGAAAAATGGGCAAACTAGGAAATTTTGGCACATAAGTCACTCCCAGTGCTTACGGTTTTCATTTATCCAAGGCAAAAGGAGGAACCTAAGCGTTTTATTAGGTAGACCAGCTGTGGTATGGAAAGATCTTTTACAAGCCAGCCTAGAGGATTTGTTTTCCTAAATCATCTGTCTTTTTAAATACAACTTTTGTGATATGCAAAGAGAAAGCAGGAGGTAATGTCAAAAGCATTCCATGCGCTATTAATTTTGTTATGCAAATCTACTCCCCAAATGATAGTTTTATTCAGAACTAGCAAGAGATCCATCATTATACCTCTATGTATAGAGAGGAAACACAACTAGGATTGAAACAAGTGCTCTCATTTGGATTATTATTTTAATATGGCAGTATTATCTGTAGGTGATTTTTAAAGCAGAATGTTTGCATAGCAAATCCTGAACTATTCGTTCCCAGAGACTGTTTAGTGTTGTCAACATTTATTACTTTTGCTTTTGTAAATATGTGTAGCAGAAAGCGGTAGAGTTTGACTTAAAACTAATAAGCAGATTTTGGGAAATGGATAACAAAACTACCACTCTTTTCCAGCCATCTGCCTCCTTACCTAATAAAACAGCAACAAAGGAAGTGGAAAAATACAAAGGCAAGAACAGAAAACCTGCTCAACTTGTGTAAACTGTATTATTTTCAAAGTTTTAAGACGTTAATACTAATTTTTCTACCACACTTGAAATTTTAATGTTTGGCTACACATTGCATTCTAGTGCAAAATTACTCTCACGTACACACTTGCTCTGAAGTGTTGAATTATACACCAAACTACCAGTAGATGTTTCAAGTAGCTCTAGGAATTTTTCTACCATGGACTGCTACACATTGCAGTTTTTTCAGATTCAGCTGTGATGTGTCCATTATCCATGTGTAGGTTTTCACACGTTGTGCTCCTTTTCAGTCAGCCATTTTGCATCTAAATGAAGCTATGGCTTCAATACAAGAAGATATGGCCCAGTTACTTATATATGCAGTCATCTGATCACCGGGACAGATCTGGGAGTGGGGGTGAGGGAAGGAAAGGAAACAGGAGGGAGGTGCTGCACTTCCCTTTGATTCCTGCTCCACCCAAAGTTTAAAACCAACTGCTTGGCAGGGGCAGCGACATTTCTAGTCAAGCTGCGCTGAGGGAGTCAGTGGACTTCATGGCTCATTATAATCTACATGATCCCTTCGAAACTCTTCATTCCATAGATGAAGAGTTTCATCTGTGGAATGAAGAGCCAGATGAAGGCCATCAAGGCCTTTTGATGATCCACCAATCAAGCTATCCTTTGTTCTGCAATCCTGCGGTCTATTAGCTGTTCCTGGTAGTGAAGCTCACATTTCACAGTCCAGCCGATTGTTTTAAACTCATTCCAATGAAGTTATATTTGTTTTTGCTTCAATCTTAAACTGAATAATACAGCCCTAGGCCTCTAGTATATTAGTAACGTTTCTCATTTTTTTTTAACTGGAGAAAAATGTATGTTGTTTTATATGTGATGATGCATACACCTCATCACGTGTACCCCCATTTTCAAAATTCTAGATCTGCCCATGCCGTATCATGACCCACACCTTAAAAGTATTGATACAGCAGAACAAAGTAACTAAACTGGTCAACGAGTCAAAGCACAAGAAAAAAACTCTTTTCTCTCCTTAGAAACATACCCTTTAACGTTTCTCCAGAAGATGCTCAAATTACTACTTGTATAATGGTAGTATCTCTTTCCTGCCCAGGGCAGGGGGTCAAACTCGATGACCTATTGAGGTCACTTCTGACCCTAACATCTATGAACGTATGAATCCCCAGCTGAGATGTCGATCCCATCGTAAGGGATCATTCATGAAAAGAAATAAGAGGAAGGGGAAACGGAAGCTTTGATTAAGGAAAATGATCCGCTCTCAGCACAAAGAAGGCCTACGTGACATAACTGCCAGCCACGTGTTCTATTTACTTCGGTGATTTTGGAAATCTGTCCACTGACAACTTACAAATTCTGGGAAAGGTTTAAGGAATCTGTTGGAAGGCCCCAGGGTATGTGGAGTCTGCTGTTTGCTGGCAAGGACTGTTACGCATCTCTCCACAGACAAGGTACAACAGTGGGGTTATTAAAACTCAGTGATTGTCTGTTCAAACACACATTGGGATGACAAGTTGGCTAAAATAAGGAAAGTTTTTGCTAGGGACAGGAGTCTAGGAAAACTCCCGAGCACAGAAAAAAAACTTTACAGAAAGTTTTTGAAGCAGAAAGAGAAAACTGTGTTTTCATATAAGCAGGGACTACTTCACCATGGACCAGCTAAGGTCAAAGCAACTGATCTATACCAGAAAGACAGACTCCAGGATTCAGGCCAGGAGGTGAGAAAGGAGACACCTGGACAGCCAAAGAACCCTGACCTCAGCCTAAACAATGCTGCAGAGTTGTAAAGAAAACTGAGGCAGAGAGATGGGTGCAGGTTTTATAATTTTTGCCTGGATCAGCATATTCCCTGTGCCTGCAGAAAAATATAACTTGTTTTAGAATCCTCTGAGAGGCTGGAAGAGATATATGCCATGCCCGATATGTCCCTGAGGAGCGAAACTGTGAATTCTTGTACCACTACTTCAATCAAAAACCACTATTCGGATTCATTTCAAAATGTCAAGGATCATGAGATTGGCTCCATAAATCCTTAGATCACAAGAGCTGGCAACACTTGAACTCTGGAGAGGGGCATTATAAAGCCCTTTAGGAGTCTGTGGAATCAGCACATGTCTCAAGAACACAGGGCAGCTAGGACTTGGGCTACATGAATACAAATATCTGACAGACACAGAGCCTGGGCCCAGGAAATGTGCCAGAGAAGATAAGAGAAGAAGTAATGTTGCAGCACCCCTAGGCTCAGGTATTGCTCCAGTGGGCTGGGACCCAACAGAGCAGCCAGGCAAATGTCCAGGAAAAAACAGCTCTACCTGGGCTGTGACACCACTACTCTAAAGCATATCTCCCATAATTTTGTGTTTCACTTTTGTATTTAACCCAGAAGGAAGGTCTTGCTTGTTTCAGGACATGTGAGCTAGGGACAGACATTCAAAAAGCCAAAGCCTGAATTGATCCAATCTTGGCAGGATAGTCTAACCTGCCTAGATTGAACCAAATTGCAAGGGAATAGACATTCGTGAAATGCAGGCACATGCCTGCAGTGGCTCAGGTCAGGCACCAGGGGGTGCTAGAGCAGCCCTCCGCTGCAGGGAAACTGTGCTGGGGGGGGAAGGGG